ACTCTAGTATCGAAGTTTTATCCTCCATGGGATAAAAAAATAATAATAAAAATAAAAGGGTGCGACTTATTATCTCACAATTCTGGGTTTATGGCACAAATTTCACTTTTTATTTTTTATTGCAGTCCTGTCAGAAAAGTTACAAATGTGCGATTGGACTTGTAATTCTGCTAAAAAAATCTTCCTGTGGGGGAAAAACACCTTTGCATTGTGTATAAAATTCTATAGGCTATTATTTTTGTAAGTAATTAATTTTGTGCAAGAAACACTTGCGGGTTTCAAACAATAGAGGGCCCCACAATCCTTCTTATTTCCCAATGTTCTTTCCAACTCAAACTCTCAAAACAGAACTTCGGCTGTCATGTCCTATCAATGACTTTTTGTTAGCCCTCCTCCATATTATTTAACAAATTAAAACCATTAAATTAATTAATAAAACAATAAAATGCTTTATTTTTCCAACTTTTTCTCCGTCTAGGTAATAAGTCAGAGCAGGGTACATCAACTGTAGCAAACTACATCTCTCTCATGAACAGTTTGACAGTATATTGACAAAGCAAATAACGCAGTTTGTCATATATTGATCCAAGTATACTGCAAAGGTAATATACTACACAATCCTAAAAACTGAAACGTCTGATCTATACGGCTGCCATCTATAATAAAACTCACTATACGAATGAATGTAGTCCACACACACAAACAGAGTCAGATAACAGTGGTGCCACTTGAATGCAGTGCATTCGCCCCCAGCTGCAGTTCCCAAATACGTCTCTTCAGTAAGAGACTGAATCTGCCCCATTCATTAGCCTAAGTGGATGAGCTTCCCTAATAGATGCTCCCCTTCCCCTCAATAATTGCTGTTGATTGGCATAAATTAGACCCTAGTTGCCAGACGAGTGATTCTCGACGACGATAATCTGATTCCCAGCTGAAACTAATAGGATTTTAACTCTGGTTTGGCCTAATGTCCGTCTGTAAGGCCTGGCCCGGCTCTGTTAGGGCAGACCTGTCCTTCAGCCCCGCGGCCTCATGCACAACTCACGCTTACTGTAGGGCTGCAGATGAGAGCGTACCAATAAATGAATTTGTAGCCTCAGGTGAACACGCACTGTCGGACCAGACCTATTAACAGATGGTGTAGTTAACAGTGTGTTAAGAGGACTTGACTTTAAGGCCTAAAACCACACAGAAAAAAAAGCTGACGTTTGAAGATGTTCACCATAAGGCAAAACAAGGACGCTTCTGTTTGGCTAGAAACTAGTTTTAGAAAATATATTTAGAAATATAGTTAGAAAAGTTAGAAAAAATGACAACCCTGGTTGTTTTGTTATAGAGGTTTTCCAACTGGGGTCTGTGGAAAAGTTTACATAAAGTTATAAGCTAAAGTATAAAGTAAGCTATATATATATATATATATATATATATGTATAAGCTCAAAGCCTCTCTCTAGTGCCTGGTTAATAAATTTACCAATCAAATTTACAAAAAAAATTAATGGATAGATAGATAGACAGGACAGTACTATACTGAGTAGAAAAAAAAACCTAATATTGTATCCCAATAAAAAACTAAATATTTTCCAAATATTTCATATTTATAATATACATTTTTTACACAACAATTTAATATATGGATCATATCTGGTGGTCCATGGCATCTAAACCCCTTGCTTTAATTAACAGAAAAAAACACAAATCATGATAAGTGTTCACACAGATTTTGTTGTAGCAAGTAAAAGTAAATGAATTATTACTAAAAGCATAGTAAATATAAGCGTGTAGATGTTGTTATGTTGTTGTTCTTCTGAGTGCGTTGCTATGAGGTTGCTAGGCAGGTGGTTACTTCCTGGCCCAAATCTCAATGATTTTCACATCCGTCCTGTTTTTTTTTAAGATGAGAAAAGTCACTTCAAAAACACTCTTTTGAACAAGCTACTTAAAGGTATCATTCATGTCTGTACAAATGACACACAAATACATGCTAAAACATAAGCTTTGTTCAAATCCCTATGTATATTCCCTTTAGACACTAGTGCACTTTAGAAACTTCCGTGTTGGTCATGTCTCACCAACATTATGTCCCGATCAGTATATTAACACATTTTGCTTGAACAAAAATCGAAGCTTTTTGAGACACATGTCCCTAATGAATATCATCCTTTTTTGATATTATTTGTCTTTAGGCTGATAAGAGCGAGCAGCACGCCTCGAGTCTAATGAAACTCCACTCCATTAGCGCTGAATCGGACAGATTGGCCTCCCAGAGTGTGGTGGAACAAAATGACTCACTTTTAAAAAACGGTATACCTTTAAATACTGTAAAAACAGCAATTTTTTCAACCAACTTTAAGGCTTTCATTAGACATGCTCTGTATTTAAAGGCCTTAATATGAGGCTATGTTTTCCTGTCTATATAAAACGTCCATTTATGAGTGCATTATGAGTATGGTGGCCACATTAGGTCCTTTTAGAAAATGAAGTCTCTTTAAACACACTTTCCTCAACGCACCAAAGCCATGAAATGCATTTTCTAAGCATCTAAGATGTCATTGTCTTAGAGGAGTGGGAAAATTGAATATTTACGTCACTGAAGAAAAATGTTGATAGCCTAAATGTTCAAATCCACAGCTTTATGTGAAAAAAAAAAAAACGTCTTTGAATATCAAAATGTGTATACTGAGAAATATTTATGATCAAAATGTGTACACACACACACACACACACACACACACACACACACACACATATGATGTTCCGATCAGTATATTGACACATTTTGCTTGAACCCCTCACAAATTGAAGCTTTCTGAGACACATGTCCCTAATGAAGATCACCCTTATTTGATATTATTTGTCATCAGGCTGATAAGAGCGAGCAGCACGCCTCGAGTCTAATGAAACTCCACTCCATTAGCGCTGAATCGGACAGATTGGCCTCCCAGAGAAATGAATTGAGTTTTTTGTATTTGTGAGATCATTCTCCCTGCATTAACTGATCTTTATCCCATCTCTTCATCACAGCCAAATCAGGTTAGGCAGCCATGATTAGCTGGGGTGGCCTCCCTTTTTAAGCAGTAATTGGGTTTAGCGGCTTAGCTGATAGCGCCATTAGGATCAATAACGGCCTTGCTTGGCTCGGGGAGTGAAACAGATTCTCCTGGAACAGATGGCAGATGCTGGTAAAGGGGTTCGATTTAGAGGGGGCGAAAGCAAAGTTTGTGTAACCGTAGAAGTTCTGGTCCAGTTGGGATGCAGCAAAGAGCTTCTCATTAATGCAGGAACAGGGCCACCTTTTCCCGCTCAAATCCGTCTCTGGAGAAAGACTTATGAGAGAGCACTTCAGATGAATGAGTGCACACGAAACCACTTCACTTATTCAAGTCCAGCTTGGCACAGGGTGTGACTTTTGGGAAACACAGCACACGCTGCCCAGATCTGTGTACCTGTTGAGCATTAAAACTATTAAAATGATGGAATTATGCTGCTTAAATAGTCCGTCTCAGCAATTCATGCGGACTGGAAGATTGCAAAGAGACTGAATCAACCACCCTGACCAATATTACTTGCTCTGATTGACCATTTCAATGTCCTAGCGTGCCAAGTCCTCAAGTCGTGGCTAACACTGTGAGGCTAATGTCTGTCGAAGGAAAATAAAGGCACTTTAAAACAATTTAAAAAGAAATCAAGGGGTGCACTTTGCGGGAAAAGCATCCTGTGGTGAATCTACGGCAGTTGAATCGTGTTAATAATGCTGAAGTTAAGTACCTGCCTGCTGAGATAAAAGACCTGACAGGTTATAAGGTGTTTCATAATATGGGAAATAAAGGATAATGAAAGTGCCATAAATGTGGATTGGTGTATTTTGCAAAGATGGGCTGGAGAAAATGATTGCGCTGATGTATTTGACTTGTTTTGTTTAATATTCTTGTTTCCTTCACTAACAGGCTACACGATGCAAGCAAATTAACATACAATTCAAAAATGTCAACAGAAATATTTTCCAAAATCCATTACGCTAAACTCAATACCTTCGACACAGCATGCTTACACAGCCCGACAAAACATCGTACTGTGATTTCACAGCAGGTGATGTGCTGAATGGGATTTATATTGCTTTCTCAAGGAAATGCATCTTTATATGGGAGACCAAAACAAAAGAGTGTAATGAATATATGTGCTTTGCTAGAGCACCATGACAAAAACAACTACCTTACAGTACAACAGAAGTAGCCTGGTATATACAAAAAAAAAAAGTCAAGTTATTTACTTAGCACTTTATATTGTATTATTTTTTACAGTGGTAAATAGAAAAATAGCCACAGACAGTTGAGATTCTACTGTAAAGCAGCTCTAAAATATAATTAAAATAAATAGCTATTATTGGAATATGTTTTACAACAAAATACTATTTAAGTTTTCTAGTTCAAAATGTCATGTTTAATTCAATGTGTTACTGTTTCTGTGTGTCAGTTTGTCAGTATCTATCTATCTATCTATCTATCTATCTATCTATCTATCTATCTATCTATCTATCTATCTATCTATCTATCTATCTATCTATCTATCTATCTATCTATCTATCTATCTATCTATCTATCTATCTATCTATCTATCTATCTATCTATCTATCTATCTATCTATCTATCTATCTATCTATCTATCTATCTATCTATCTATCTATCTATCTATCTATCTATCTATCTATCTATCTATCTATCTATCTATCTATCTATCTATCTATCTATCATATATTCTCAAGAAACAATAAGAAATACACAGTTATTTAATATGAAATATTTAACAATCCCTGACTACTTCTGCTATGAGGTTTTGTAGAGGAACGTATCAAACTGCAGCAATTAAATTTGTAAATTAGTGAAATAAAGATCCTATTGATCATCATTTAAAGGCCAATGATAAGGGCTCACACTGTGCTGATTCATGGCTTCAGTGTTATCACAAACCAATATATTTAATCCCCGAGGTGAGCTGAACCTCTCCCCTGCTTCACCTCTTGTAATTCCATTGCTGGCCCTGTTTAAAACACTACACAGCCATTTGGATTTACAAGCATTTGCTCCACATGTGACCTCCGCTTGGTGACATCATTGTTTTAAAGGAATTGAATTTGCGGAGGCTCCATGAAGACTGTGAGACAGCGTGTGTGTGAGTGTGAGACACACGAGAGAGACAGACAGACAGGATAAGGCAATTGATCTTCATGAAACTGACATGCCTGTCCATTTGAAAATAAATCACAAGAGCAAAGTACCCATTACACTGCAAAACAGACAACAGAAATTGACATGAATTTTACATATCAAGTTTTGTTTTCTTTTAATGGGTCTCTAATTGCGATTAAAGGTTATCTAAAGAATATTTGAATGGTAAAATTTGCAATCTGATTATTCTGCATTGTTAATCAATCCTGTTTTATTTGTAATAACTTTAATGTATTGTGTTATGATTAGCTAGCCTTACATTTACATTGCTAGTATATCCTCCAAAAGTTTCTTCAGTCACTAACATGTGCAAAAAAGGATCATATTTCTATCCAAAATACAGAACACCATAAGAAACTATATTTTGCATTATTTTATTTTATCCACTATAATATTTCCATGAAAGCACAATAAATTCTGAGGTGAAGTATTCATATTTTTTCTAGTGCCTTGAATTTAATATGTTGATTTTAATCAGCTTATTTTTTTTAAATAATTTGTAAAAATTTAAAACAAAATAATTGTAAATAATTGTAAATAATTTTTAAAAATACAATAATATAGAGAAATGCTGTATTACATTAATGAGGATAATAATAATTAATATATGGACACATAATGGAAATTGCACACACACACACACACACACACACACACACACACACACACACACACACACACAAAATGTCTTGTCATGAAAAATAATGCAAAAATCTTAACGTCCCTTCTTAATTTCGTAAATATTTGTAATTGGTATATAAAATTTATGACAAATACATATATTTATTTTGTGAGAAAGTGCCATATATTTTATATAAATATATATTTAAGAAATATTAGTAAAGAAATTAAGCTCATTTTTAGATTTTTTGCTTACATTTTTGACTTTGACAACATATTTAAAACTTCAACAGGCATCATGCTCCCCTAACTCACATGGGGAGAAAATGTAACATCTTTTGTTGCTGTCATCTCAACAAGAGTTTACACAATTACAGACAGCTGGTTTGCCTTCAAGCAAAAACTTGTGACGTTACAGTCTCAGGTTGAGTATTACTTTCTAACAGTGCATTTACAGAAATACTGTAGATACAGTCTTTGAAGGCTGTCTAGTTAAAGTGACAGCATGTATTTTTCAGTTAAAGTCCTTAAAGGTTAATCAAACAATAAAAATATCATCACACACTGACCAGAAGCTGTCGAGGTCCAAAAAAAAAAAAAAAAAACCCCACTAAGAACTACCATGATAAAAATGGTCTATATGTCCTGTACTCTACATTCAGAAGACTTGAGTTGTGTGAGTCATATGACTCATATATGATATTGAGCATATCATATGATATTCGGACAGTTATAGGAAAAGCACATTGTAACCTTGGGAAAGATTCTCAAAGAAAGTTAATTGGAGTGGGGTCTGATCTTATCATGGACGTTCAATCTGTGTTAGTTAATAGTAAAACTCGAGGCACACTCCAGAGCTCGCTGCAGCCTCTCCGGTGTTGAATAGAAATAGCCTGAAGCAATTAGCCCACTAAGATCCACTCATCAGGAGGCAAGAAGTGAATGAGATCTGCTCGCCAAAGCTAATCAATATTAATGATGGATTATTTACAATTAACAATGGGCCCTTAATGGCTGCCTAATTGTTTGTTTTGGCTTAACGTGGCGAGGTGAGAGCAGCAGACAAACTAAGGACATTAGTGAGAGAGAGAGGAGCTAAATGTCTTTTCACTTTCTTTCACAGCACAGATAAGCTCGTTTGTAATGGAGGAGCGTTTGTTTTTCATGTATGCCTGCAACAACAAATCTGCTCAATGTTTTTTAGTCCCCTCTTAGTCACTCACTTTCTTTCACAGCACAGATAAGCTCGTTTGTAATGGAGGAGCGTTTTGTTTTTCATGTATGCCTGCAACAACAAATCTGCTCAATGTTTTTTAGTCCCCTCTTAGTCAAAATGAGAGTTTTGTGGCTTTTAATCTGTCTTCACACTTACACTTCTGCAAGTGTAAGCTATATATACTGTATATACATACATGTACATAGGTTATATATACACATACATACATATGCACACACACACACACATATATATATATATATACTCTATATATATCTTACTGTTTTTAGCATATAGGAAATAGAATTAAGAAAACTAGTAATTTCATGGTGTCACTATGGAAAAAAAATATTCAAGCACAAATTCTACACTAAATTCAGGTGTAAACAGGGTCCAAACCATTTTAATCTAGACCAATTTCACATCGACATGGTCAAAATAACAAATAGCTGCTTGAAAGCATTTGAGCAACAAAGGATATGAATAAATAACTACTAAAAATAAAAAGAACTTAATAACCTAGACTGAATGACTGCAAAAACGTGTCTAAATAAACGTGCAATACCTTACTGAACTTCTTCAGCATGTCTAGAATCAACAACTGCAACTAAACAACTAAAATGTCAAATTTGTGATTAAACAACACACAAAAAGTCAGACTCTTTCTTTCTTTCTTACTTTATGTTTTCATATCTCTTTTTAAGTTCCACTCAGTCACTTGTAATTAGATCTGTAAAACGCACCGTGATAACCGTGATCAGTCAGATGATATTTACGCTCTTGTGATTGGCTAAAAAATGTTTCTAAGTGAATGGCAACGCTTTGATTCTGCCAGTGAGCTATAAGCTCTGAGTTACACAACTATATTCACTATATTTAAATCATTATTGTTTTAAACATTTTTATAAATTGATGTTTTATTATCACTTAACTTAAAACAACCTTGGGGAGGGTGATGAAAATCATTGAGACCAAGTTTGTGAGGGTTAATTTATGACCATTTCTGTGTCCAGTTTGGTTTAAAACCCATGATTTCAAACTCAGGTTTCACCCCCCACCCTAACTCAGAATTGAGTGTTTTGATTGGTTGTTGCTCATCTCCCAGCTCACACCTTTTTTACACTTTTGTTGAGCAAAAAGGGGGAGGCACCCTGCCGTTTAAGAGGGGCTCACCAAAGTTAGAGCTGCCTCTGTGTTTTCTTTCCCACCTTCTTGCTCATTTAGCCTGTTGCACTTTTGTGACACTGCAACACAGTTCAGTTCATAAGGATACTTCAAGGACTGAGCAGGGAGAAAAGGCTTTGCCGATGATCACAGGAATTCCAGAAACATTGCATTTTGGGATTTTCAGGCCTAGAGACTGCCCTTCAAGACTGCTTTTTATTGGCCTGCTACATTAACATAAAAGCTACTTCTGCTATCAGAGACAAGGACTTTTTCCATCCATTGACTGTTTTTTGCTGACTTCAACCAGTTTAACCTGACAGACAATGGCTTATTTACTAGTTTTACTGGTGCTGATGCTAGTTTCAGTATCTGAGTCCTTCCATCTGGAGCACCTCAGTCGCTTTGACTGGAAGAAGAGCATTCGACCAGGCGAGGGATGCCCTAAAAAGTGCCACCCTGAGCGCTGTCCAGATGTTAGGCAGCTGCAGGGTTGTCCAGCCAGGCTGGTTCGTGACCAGTGCGGGTGTTGCTGGGAATGTGGAAACGATGAGGGGCAACTGTGTGACCCGGAGCCCCGATCTGGGTCTACTTTTTACGGGCGTTGTGCTGAAGGTCTGCGCTGCAGAGACCCCACAGGTGAACCCAGAGCCATCTGTGTGTGCAGTAAGCAGGAAGCACTCTGCGCTTCTGATGGAAAGACATATAAAAATATATGCCAGTTTCAGGCGGCCCAACACAAGCAAGGCAAAGGTCAGATGCTGACAATGGTGCACCATGGACCCTGCAAGTCAAGTGAGTATCTCTAAATATACTATGATTGAATCTTAATATACACATATATAGATAAATTGTAATTCTTGTTATCCTCAATTGCGATTTTCATTACTGCAACTTTTAAAAGTGCATTTGAATTTATTACTGATAGTATAAAAATTAGCATGGATTAAAGGCAGCACAACAAATACTACAATGAGGCATAAACACTCATCAATTATTACATTTATATTATTTATTTTAAAATTACATTTTACAGTTTATATATTTAAAATTTCTTGAAAATTGATTAAATTGATGAATTGGGGTGGGGTGCTTAATTGTCATAAAAATAAAGTCGCAATTGCAATCATCCTAAAATAAGCTTATTTTTATTTCAACAAAATATGATTCTTTCTAAAATCATTAAAAATATGATTATTTTTCTTTTGCTTTTTGTGATGACAATATGCCTGCGACATGTCCTGACAGAGATTTACCCTTCTAAAGGTCTTCAGCTATTAAAAATGGTTTCTTACTGGTATTTGATATTTAATTTTAGTACTAGTGCATGTTTGCTCAGCGACCTCAGCTAAAGTAATGGCCACATCAGTTTGGTATGAATGCATCTGCTAATGTAAATGTATATATAGATGTAAATGCCATCTCAGGAGGAACCATTGTCATGGATAGAGTGCCAACATGATCACCACATTTAAAAGTTGTGTCATGGAAAAGGCCAAATGAAAACCCATTTGTTCAGCTGTGGGAATAATAAGTCAGCTGTTAAGTTTATTTACCTTACCGTCATGTTTAAGATTAGCAGTTCATAAGTGTCCAATCTCACACCTTAAAATAATTAACCAAGCTAATCAAAACACAGCACAAATGGCTACAGTAAATACAGAAGCTGGTGTGAAAAAAGCATCCAGTAGCAAAGATTTGCTTCAGGATGTTTTTTTTTTTGTTTGTTGTTTTTCTTAAAATGTTTTATTTTTATAATCAGTTACTCTAAAGCTCAAAGTTGTCTATCTTCTGCAAACTTTACAGAACCAGTTATCACTTATGCTCCCCGTGACATCGTCACAACCAAAGGAAGTGATGTTATCTTTTCCTGTGAGGTGTCATCATATCCATTGGCCTCCATCCAGTGGAGTAAAGAAGGAGTCGTTATTTCTTTTCCTGCTGATGATTCAAGCACAGCTGTACAGGTATGTGCACATGAAATAATCTGTACCTGGTGGACAATAAAATTGGACAAAAAAAATGTAGTAACCAGCCCCCGTGACATTCTAACAAATACACAGGAAAGCACCATTCAAACTGGCATCAGTCTGTACATAATGGTAGTCACATAATCTTTAGTATTTTTCATTGCATTGTCCATATAATTAAAGTTAGAACAGATAAACACAGTTAAACTTCAAAAATAAATGTTTCAAAAGTTTTTTTTTTTGTATGATACAATAGAATTTTTTTCTGAAAGAATTTTTCAATAATCTTATTAAGAAGCTTTTGTGGAATGGAAAGGTTCTTCATGGAACTATAGTTGACAATAAATAACCTTTATTTTTAAGAGAGTAAACAGATAAATGACCTCTCAAACAGCAGGTTCTAGTCACATTCTCAGAAACAGTTCTGGTTTTGTTAAATGTGCAATGGTGTGTGTTTCTGTAATTACAGGCTCGCGGGGGTCCGCGGCGGTTTGAATTGACCGGCTGGCTCCAGATTCAAGGAGTTGGGCCGAACGATGCAGGTGTGTACACATGCACCGCCAGGAACGCCTTCGGAGAGGTGTCTGCCTCCGCCAGATTACAGGTTACACATGGAGGTATGTCTGAGAACACACTCATTCATAGACACAGACACGGCCATTAGGAAACAAGGTCAGAGGTGAACAAGCTGAAAAAACATGATTGTTGGGGCTGCTTCAACACACACACACACACACACACACACACACACAGAGAAAGAGAGAGAGAGAGAGAGAGAGCGAGAGAGAGAGAGCGAGAGAGATAACACTATTTCCATGTTTTACACCCATGAAAATTGTATTGTTCAGAAGTTACTTGTTCATAGCTCAGGAGACTGTTACATTTATGTGTCAACGCTGTCTCAGGTGTTTCTCCTAAAATTCCTTAGGAAAAATTAAATGAATGGAAACAAATGAGTCCATTGTTGATGGTACAGTATAGATTAGATAGACTTTTATTGTCCCGAAGGAAAATTGTCTTGGACACATACAATCCAGTGACTGCTGCTTAAATAAGTAACACATAACAACACATACACAAACTGCTATCAACTAACCAGTTGCACACTACACCTGTAATCGTCATAATAATAAGATTCAATAAAAAAATTACAAATAAAATAAAAAAAATATATATATACATGAATATCGTTATTGTTACAATTAAAACACCGTTATGGGGGCAAACCTCTGGCTGACTTGTCATTTAAAGCTTTGATGGACAGAGGGACGAAGGAATTCTTAAAGCGGTTAAGCCTGCACTGGGAAAGTCTAAAGCTCAGATAGTTCGATTTTTGGAAAGAATGTGATGAGAAATGTAGTTCATATTGGGAGTGACTTTGATTACAGATTTTGGTATTTTAGCAAATCTGAGCGCACCTTGCTGAAATCTCTTGTGAAACTCTATGAATGAGATTTCTGTGGTCTTTTTCTCAGAAGAGAAATCTGAAAAAGTCTCTATTCATATAAAAAGTCACAACTTTTATTATTATTCTTATTATAACATTTATTCGACAACAACAACAACAGCAAAAAAAACTATCTGAGATTCAAAATCTCCTTTACAGGAGTGTCCTGGCCAAGATGCAGCCAAAATAACATATACATATGTACACAAAACCAATACATGTAAGACCAACATAAAATATAAGCATTATGTTTCAGAAGCATTTTATGTAGCTACACAGATTATGTAGCTTTAATTTTATTTGAACATAGTACCAATCAGATTTCCATTTGCTCTCAATTTATTTCTCATTTAACTTTTCTCCAAAATATAAAAAAAAAATATAAAAAAATATTGAAATATATTTGTTTAATTTAAAATATTATTAAATAAATATAATTCATAAATATAATTAAATGATTATTATTTAATTATATATATAATTAAATGAATATAATTAAATATTTATTATATATATAGTATATCTGATTGGTACTCTCTTCAAACACGATTGAAACTACATAATCTGATAAAAACAAATAATTTGATTATTATATTAACGAGTGTGTATATTAGTTGACTCTTTTGCGGTCATGCAAGTTGATTTCCCCATCTAGTTGCAGTGTAAAGTATTTTAATAGACTATTTAACTTAATACAAACAACAAATGTTTAACTTGAACATTTGTCTTGTTTTAACATTGAAAAATATCCATCCACACTGCAGAGAGAGGTCTGTTAGGTTATTCATGTTCTCTCTGCGGTCTGTGGCGTGGTCAGAAAAGACATGCGAACGCACCAACAGTGGGAGCTGATCGATTTCAATATGCCACTATCAAAGCTTATCATCTCCTCATCGCTAAAGGTGAACTTGGCCTTCCGAGAATCCGACAGAACTGACGATAACCGTACACCAGTCGAGGGCTTTCTCCAGCAGGAACGTAAAGGCTGGTGATGACAGGAGGTAGAGAGGGTCCTAGATGGGGGGAGATTTGGAAGGGAAAGGGAGAAGGGGTGGAAGGGCTTGTGTATTATGTGGCAGGTCATTGCTGTGACTGTCTGGCTGTTATCTCTTTCTCTGGGGGGTCTGATCCTTTAGACTGGCCCTTATCTTCACCACCAGTGCCTGACCCCCCCACCCCCTTCCCTCGCTTCCCGGAACGTCCCAACTGCTATGAACTCTGGGATAGGTGGAAGTGAAAGGTGACTCTGGACACAGGACAGACCCGTTCCTATAGGTTTAGAGGCTATAGAGAAAAATAGAAAGAGAAGATTTAAATATATCAGGCATGTGTGTGTATGTTTTACAGGAAGTTGTGGGCAAAATTATTGAGAAAATGCTGAGCTTTCTTAATATGATCAAAAGTAAACGGGCTGCGCTTTATTTAGTGCATTAATTAATAGATCCCATTTGCATGATGGTAATGGCTGTTCACCACATTTTCACTCTGTTAATTAAAAAAGCATCTACTAAAATGTTTTAGTATAGTAGGCTATATACATGCTAATCAAAATAAAGGTTTGTTATTGGCATGTGTGGTTCCACGAAGAACCTTTAATGACAAAAGGTTCTTTATAGCGGAAGAAGGTTCTTTAGATTTTTAAAATGCTCCTCACAATAAGAAAAAATGGTTCTTTTAAGAACTGTTCACTGAAAGGTTCTTTAGGGAACCAAAAAATAGTTCCTCGGTGCTGCGAAAACCCATTTTGAAACATTTATTTTTAAGAGTGTATTAAACAAATCAAAAATAAAGTTTTTTTTTGTTTGTTTTGCATCATAAATAATTGCTACAATTAATCAAACATTGTGTCTTTATATTTTCCAGGTTCTCAGCTCACCAAAGAGTTCCGTAAAAAAGAAAACGGAGCTTATAGAATATCAGGCGAAGAGGAGAATGTCGATGATGAAGATTACGAAGGCCAGCCGAGTGGATATATGTATTTGTAACATAGAGATTATAAAATCATAGCATTTAAACAGATTTTTAAAATTATGTTTGAGATGTCAGCTCAGCATAAAATGTGTACTCTTACATTTTTTATTGCCCTTTTAAGGGTTTATGTTTATGTGTGAGCATTGTATATAAATCCAAATAATTTCTATTCACTCTTGAGATTTGTACTTAAAAATAGAACTTAATGAAATAGTTGATTTACGAATTGAGTGCTTTGTTGTTTGTGATCTAAAATCTAAAATATTTGCTAAGAGTCCATTTAGGGTAAATCGTTATTGCCAAATGTTATTATGCAAAAGTGCACATGCCAGACTTTTCTAAAAGCCAAAAAAAAAAAAAAAAGAAAAAAGGCCATTGATGCTGCTTTCGCACACAATTACCCTGAACCCACTCCCTGCTGTTGAATAAAACATCAACAGTGTCTCTCCTCACTTCTGTCTTCTCAAAGATGCTGAGAAGAAAAAAAAGCACCCAGGTTAAGTTGTTTGAAAGCTCTGGTATTAAGAGGCGTTTTACACTTAAGAAGTTGGTTTCGCTGGGTTTTCTCTTCCCTCCCCTATTGATTGATGCTTAGCTATCAATGCATAATAGAAAAGCACTCAGGACAAATGTGGGGTTATGGCCTTCCAGGGAGAGAGCAGACCAGGCTGTTTCCCAGCGCCATTATTGCCCCATAAAGGATCCCTGGGGAGGGACAAGTTCCTCACATCAGCACACACCAAATACCCAATTAAAAAAGAAGACCTTTAAATTCTCTCCTCTTTCCTGGGCAGAAATCAATCAGAATTCAATCTGTTCGGCTTGGATTCCGACAGGCCAGGTAATTGCTCACCAGAGCTCGGATAGGTGACAACAGCTTCGAGGAGAGACAGCGAGCCAATCGGGTGTTCGCTTTCAGACCGTCGGTGAGAAAGCAGTGATACCTAACGAAAGCTCATCTATGCGCTTTCAGGACAGCTTTTATTTTTAGACTCTTGGTAACAGGTGAGGATTTTCTTTTATAGGCAGCAGGTAAACGATACGACTTTGAGTGTTAAAATAAATGGATCATTTAAAGTAAGTGGCTCTCATATTCGTCTTCTTAAAAGCCCTTTGAAAATGAATTCCAATTTGGAATGATTTGTACTTCAAAAGGCATTTGTTGGGGAGCGCGCAAGGCGATTGGGCAAGCGAGAATCGGAGAGACAGACCGGGTGAGAGAGAGGAAGAGATGGATGAAGATGTGATATGGAGTTAGAAGAATGCAATTAAAAGCTGAATCATTCTCACTCCAGCGTAACTCTATCCGTTGAGATGAGAGCCGAGCCTCTTTCTCATGGCTGTATTTGTGTGGATAAAACTCTCCCCTGGCCCTCGTTTTAGATTCACGCTTAATGATCCCCTCTCCGATGGGAGAGAGTGGGCTGCTGTCAGGATGGGAGACACGATCCGGACGCAGCAGTGTCCGAGTCCCTCTGGCTGGCAACACCATGTGCAGGGGTCAGACGAGGTCAGAGGTCATGGGCAGAGAGCTAGGATTAATGGACATCTCAGTAAAACGCAGGGTTGGGTTACCAGTTGCCCAGCCTGATCTCACACACACACACACACACACACACACACACACACACACACACACACACACACACACACACACACACACTATTTCACTAGTGTAAACTCAAGACTCACCTCATCTAAGCAGAAGAGGATGTGGTCACAATCTCCACTAGCCTGCACTAAAATACTATGAAATAAGCATATATTAAGACATACAGTATTATTTGGCAAAAAAAATAAAAATAATAATTTTATATAAAAATATAAGCTGAAAAATATAGAAAATTGAAATAAAAGTGAAAAAAGCAGCATGCAGGAAAGACGTTCGACTTAATGAAGCGGTCATGACAGTGAATGAAGCATTTTAATATTGTGTCGGTCGATGAAAAAGACCATGAATATCCACAGGAGAGATGAACAGAGATCATATTGACTGCAGTAAAACAGACTCCAGCAAAGAATCGCTTGCTGACAGATATTCAGCTCATTTTGATATTTCATACAGAAATTAATATCTGGAGGATCAAACCTAAATAAATAAAAAATAAGACTTGAGTTATTCAGTGAATTTAATTAATAACATGCAATTAATTAATTCATTATCTTTCTATAATATATTTATAATTTAATTATATTTAGGCCCATTTATATTTAGAAAGAAAGAATAATTAATATATTATATATTATATTTAGAAAGGGAGAAAAAGAAAGAAAGAAATACAAGAACGAGATTTTTATTTATTTTATAGTTGTTCCTGTATTTCCTATTTACCTCATTTTGCTTAACGAGATCTTGTCCTCATGTCTGGAGAACGCCTCCCACAAAAATCATGCAGTAATCGTTAGTTTATTGCCAATTCCCCAAGCTTTAATAGGCCTACCATCAATGCTCAGAATCGAGACGAAGCTGGAAAAAGCCATGGAAAATGCCTCATTAACACCATCAGTTGGCGCGTGCTGCTGTCTCATTCGCTCTGCGCTGGAACTCTCGCGAGAATTCCGTCCCCTCTTGGGCGGCATTTAGATGATGGATTGTGAGCGGCCTCATTAAGTCACGCAATGAGTGAAATATGTCTTTGTCTCCCCTTTGTCGCAAAGTAATAAAGGGACGCCGAATTCTTCAGCACAGCTGCACATTATTGCACAGCTCTCAGCTGGACGATTTTTTTCCTCTCTTCTAATTGATAAATGACAGGATGAAAGGTTATTGTTGTCACACTAATTGCAAATGGTGGTGAATTACTAACGGGGCCGTGCGTTTTCTGCAGTGGCATTGGGTGGCACAGTCTGACTGGCGTTTTAACAACCAGCTGCTCATAGACTGGCCAATATGAAATAACCTCATGGGTAGGGTGACCATACGTGCCATTTTCCCAGGACGCGTCCTGGCCAGGATTTCTACATTGCCTAAAATATCTAGGTTTTGGCTTTGTTTGCGTGTGCAGACCGATCGGTGTATGACCACCGATCGGTCTGCACACGCAAACAAAGCCAAAACCTAGATATTTTAGGCAATATAGAAATGCTGGCCAGTGTCCTGGGAAAATGGCACGTATGGTCACCCTACTCATGGGCATAGAGGGAATATTAATTCCAGTGATTAAACAACACTTGGGGGAAAAGGTAATATTTACAACAGTGATATGACGGTAAAATAAAACATTTTGATTTCATGCCACTATTACAAAATACAAGAACAACAATAGGCGAGTAAATCAAACAATATTTAAGATTACTCTTCGGTGGAGACCGGGTGCACTTTTTACTTAACTAAATACTTAAAAAAAAAAAAAGAAAGATAGGCTATTGTAGGCCTATGAAAAGGATTAAACACCTTGACCCAGCATTTCAGCAAAAAATTATACAGTGAAATAAATCATTAAACAGCACAAATGTCCACCAGAAATCGTTTAAAATCAACACGCAAAACCACTGTCAGAGAAAACAGTGGTTAATTTTTTACTTTTGACTCAAAATAGTTGAGATATGGCTGCTGTGACAACTAGCCCCGGCTTCCCTATTAGTTGTGTTGGTTGGTATAGTTTTTTAAACATGACTTTATCCAAATGCAGGAGCAAACAGAGCCCTAATAGAGTTTACAGTTTCAATCTTATTTAAATCCTTATTCTTATAAACGGTGCTGTAGAAATGGACTTCCATTTGCAGGAATGTATCATTTAACCCTTCTATTTTGCTCTCCGGAGAGCTACTCTTTCACTTAGCTTTTTCCTGTGAAAGCAGGATTTGATTACTACGGTAAGTAGTAAACATGCAGGTATTTTTCCATCTCAGCTTGTTCTGAGTTCAGGGCCTCGGAGTCTGTGGATGCAGCTTGTCTATGGCACTTTTCACAGATCAGCTTTCACACAAACAAACCCTCACAGAGGAGACTACAGTATATGCAGGTAAATGTACAATGCCAGCCATGCACAGCCTTAAGAATCAACCACAGTGTTACGGACGCTCACATTTGCCTTTGCAAACACATCAGATCAGCGCTTTTTGATGTCCTTCCATTTTAAAATCTGTTGTGTCGATAACTATAAAGGGTTTCAGAGGAATTGTTTGCTGTTTAATAATGTATATAGTCAAATGAATAGCATGGAACAATAAATATTTGCAGTACGGCATGTTACAAATGTAATGGTGTGCTCAGAACAAACATGTATGTTGACTTGAGTAAAGATGGCGAGGGTGTTACTCATGGTTCTTATGGCTTTAATCTTTCAGCAACGAGTTGAAGGAACATAATGCATTCTGTAGCTGTACTAATAATCTTTTTCATATTTCTCTTTAAAGTGACAGCTATACTCATGTTTCAAGTAAAAGTATATTTGCCTTCGGCTTATTAAAATCACATGTTTTCTTATGCATGCATTTCCATTTGGCCCAGGCAGACAGCAGTCAGTGATTGACAGATGTATTGATCCCCAGAGAAGCTTTGTGACGGGAATGTGGCATATTTTTATTTACTGCCTGTCTTTAATCCAACCTAGCCACCGCTGACAGTACCGCCTGTCCTTTAAGACTGACATAGTGCCTATTGTGAGGAAATGGAAGAGTGTGGTGTTTGATATGTTGAGGGTGCCATCAGGGAAAGCTGTCATGGGTTCGCCAGCAGGTACTGTCACCAACATAATAAATCAACTGTCTAGTCATTCATTCATCCTTTTGGCAACTCTCTCCCAGCTTCTGTTCACTTTCAAAACCTATATTTAATTATTTTTGCCATTCCATTTTTTTTTATTCAAGCTAAAACAATAATAGCTACCCTAAATAACAAGCTTGGCTGTTAATTACCATTGTTCAATAACCCACACAGTTCATTTTACTTAAGTTTGTCTGCAGAGTTTATTTGAAAAAGTTGATTACACAATAATCAATTAATTTATTGTGTGTAGATAGGCCAGAAGTAATAATAAAAAATAAGAAATATTTGTGGATGTTTGCTTCA